GAAGAAATTTGAGACAATGAGAGTGGTAAAACACTGGAACAGGTTGCCCAGAGAGGTAGTGGAGGCCCCATCCCTGGAAACATTCAAGGCCAGGTTGGATGGGGCTCTGAGCAATCTGATCTAGTTAGCAGTGTCCCTGCTCACTGCAGGGGGGTTGGACTAGATGACCACTAGTGGTCCCTTCCAACCCTAAACATTCTATGATTCTATGATTCTATGATTCTATGAAAAGTCATGGCAGTCAGGCGAAGTCCGCAGTGACGGGAGAAAGGGAAACATCACACCCATTTTTAAAAATGGATGCTCCACCATTGGAAGTGTTCAAGGCCAGGCTGGCTGGGGCTTTGAGCAGCCTGATCTAGTGGAAGGTGTCCCTGTCCACAGCAGGTGGGGGGGGAACTAGATGATCATTAAAGGTCTCTTCTAACCCAAACCATTCTGTGACTCCATGACCATATGGCCCTGCAGGCTAATTCTTCTCTGACCAAAAAGACCCAGGACTGGGATTTCCAGAACTACATTCATCGCTAGAGGAGTGTGGGAGGAGAAGAAAGCTACCCTTTCATCAATTCACCTTTTAGCATAAAAACTACACTGTCATCAAATCTATGGAGATTAGCCTTCCTCTCCCCTGACCATTCCTGGTGAACTAATATGGCAAAGGAGTAATACAGAAATGAATCTGTCATTTTTATGGAGAACTGCAATGATGTTAATAAATCTCGTGTTCAAAACAGTATTGCCAGAGCGAGCACCCGAGCCAGACTGCTCCCCAGATTTCCAGAGTAACAACAGAGATGGCACTTCAGACGCTGACCATGTCCATAACACAACAGGGCACTAAGTTGTTTCTAGGCGTAATAGGGCTCAAGATGCTGGACCTTAAAATGTTCCCATCACCTTCCTTCACGTTATGATTTTAGCAGCTAAAAATTAAAGAAATGACTGCATTGTACCCTATGAAAACCAGAATGTCAGGCTTCCAGATGGTGTGAAGCACTCAATTCTAAATTCAGCTGTTCCTAAAACAACAGCCACTAAAACCATGTCACAATTGAAGTGAATGAAATGGTTGGAAGTGAAAAAGGTGACTTTCAAAGCTTGTGTTCATCCACAGCATTAATTCTTTTTTCATTGCCGTTACTTCTCTCTTCAATGTCTGGGAATAATGACCAGAAAGGAGTAATACCAGTAGCACAGAATGAAGATCTACAGCTGCCCTCTAACTGAGGCTTTCCCCTAGGCAGAGATGTCTGGTTGCACTGGAAGCAGAGCGCCAGCAAGGCTAGAGCACTGCTTACGATATGGTGGAGTAGATACTCTAGCTTGAAGCTCTACTGGGTCACAGCTCAGCTGTGAATGCAACTGTATCAAAACAAATCACAGTTGGGGACGGGGGAAAAAAACACATCATGCTCTCATCACAATAAAAGCTACTTTGATTCACTTTCAAAATAATACATCAATCTCACCTGTGACTCTCATCACACAATGAACAGAACTAAATATATTGAACAAACCAGCCCGTAATTGTCTCTCTCTCTCTCTCTGTTCAGCCCTTGCCAAAGTAACACCTCATCAGTCCTCTTCTATAGTATCTGAAAGGATGTAGATTTTCTTTCATGATTTAGGGCCCGATCAGCTGGAGGCAGTCTGCAGCTGTAAGAACAAGGCCTCCTCCCAGCATGGGGATGGTACAGAAAAGGCGCTAAGTTAAGTATGGAGACAATATGTAATCCAATCAGAGAACTGAGGAGACAGAGAGAGCAAGAGGTAGGCACACAGGCCTCTCTCTGCACATCAGACAGGGCAAGAGGCGCAAAGGCAGTCTCGCTTGTAGTCGAGGGCTGCAGGGACAGCAGGGACGTGGCTGCCTTCCAGCACAGACTGGATGGCACTGGAAAGCAGGGTGCCAAAGAGAGCCCTGGCCTCATTTTACTGGCAGGCTCCCAGAGCCTCTGAGATAGAGTGCTGTTTATGGGAGTCTGTCTCTTACAAAAGCCTCTGCTCCCCCGATGAAACAAACAATCAAAACAAAAGAGTCCATGGCTGGTGGCTGTGAAGGTTCACGGAGGCCTGTCTCGCTTGTTGCTCTGTATCTTTTCCACCACAGTCACCTCACAGTATCCAGCCCATCAACGTGACACGTCCACAACTTCAAACCACAAGGGACATCCTCGTTGGGAAATCGTTCTGAGAGGAAAGAGAGGAGAAATGTCAACAGGAAAGCACCCATGGAATGGACAAAGAGACAGATGTAGCTTTGACAGAGACACAACCAAACAGCAACAGCCTTGGTTGACTCATCCCCCTTTTCTCTCTCACACATGCCACTTAAGCTCAGGCCTAGCAGCCAAGCTGCTCTAGCGACAAAGTCTCACCCATGGAACAGACTTCAGCCAGCTCCCCTTCCCCAACAGCCACAAACTCATCAGTCCTCACTAGACTGTGGCAAGATGTTTTGCACTTGCTGGGGTCCTGTGTGAAGAATGCCTTTGGCATCCATAGCCCATACACATGCCCATGGGCATGCACCCACAGGAGTCTGTCATCTCACCCCTTCCAGAAAGACCTGAGGTCTCTTACACCATACCTTGCTACTAGCCTGTCCCAGTCCAGAACAGAACCCCTCAACCCTTCCTTAACAAGGATCAAGGCCAAAGCAATGGCCTGTAACTTCTGCAAGCCCTGGGTAAGTTCCCTTCCTTACCATGACACTCCTAAACCCCAGATAAACCCCCACTTCCTTGGATCACCAGGCCACAGATGTCAAAAACTTCCCTTACCTCTCCAGTCCCAGGCACATCTATCTCTCCCTCCCATCACGGAGTCCCGTGTAGGAGCCATTTCCCTTTCTGGCCTCCTACACCCACAGTCACTGCTCTCTTCCCGGAGTGACTCCCCTTATCTGGGGTTCCCCACGCTCAGACTCCAGCCTCTACCCCCCTGGAGAGCGCCCCTGCCCCTAAACTCTGGTTAGTAACCCCTGCTCCCCGCTCAGCCTATTTGGATCAGGAACACTGGACATGGCCTCACTGTTTTCTTGGGGTCCTTTTTCCTCTTCTTGTCAGAGGCGTTGAGGTAGGCCTGCTCCCGGGCCCTGTAGGATGGGCCTCGGCTCAGCTCCCTCTCGCTGTACGGGGGCAGGGTGTCCTCCTCTTCCTCCTGCTGAGGTGGTGGTGGCGGCTGTTGTGGCTGCTGCTGCGACTTCTCGGCTTTGTAGGTAGAGGGTGGTGACCAGGCATAGTACGTCCCCCCTCCTCTCTGGCTGGGCTGCGAGCTCAGCTTTGAGGGGGTTTCACTGTGGTCGCCACTCTCATCGTAGCTCCGGGATTTCCTCTCCAAGACGCTGCTGAGGTAGGAGTGGTCGTATTTCTGGCTCCCTCCAGGCGTCCGGCTCACCAGCCTGGGCAGGTGCTTCTCCTCATGGGCCCGTCTCCGGGGTGGGCTGTATGACCAGCCCCGATCCGAGTCTGTCAGTGGCTCTCGGTTCCCTCTGCTACGCTTGGTGTAGTACTCCTCCATGGAGCTATCCTGGTGGGGCAGCCCTCCGCCACGGCCACCGTGCGACTCTGACCGCTCGAAACGCCGAGTTTCCTGGCTGTCTGCCCGCCGGGTCCGCTGGCTGTAGGACTCTGCGAAAGCTGCCAGCTCATCCATAGAGACGGCCGGCACTCCCACAGAGAAACTCTTACGGGACAACATCTCGGACTTGGATCTCTGCTGGCTGGAGGAGGGAAGAGGTAGTGTTAGAGGGCAGGATTCAGCTGCACTCATCCCCTCAGTGACCTTCACAGACAACAGAGGGAAACAGGCACTCCGGGGGCATGAACCATCTGACCTGTTTTCATCATTTTCTGCAGGAAGAGATGCATCACATCCTCAAAATCCCCGCTCCTCTCTGCAGACTGCAAAGGCAGCTTAGTGCAGATAGCTTGGACTCTACATGCCTAATGTTACCAGAGATTAACCCCAGAGTGCACCTCCCTTGTCCTCCAGTATGCAGGGCTGGACTGACTTCTCCTTGGCCCCAGAGCTTGTAGATCTATGGCCTGCTGGGAAAACCCAAGAAGCTCACAGCAGGGCAATTTTGAAGCAGGTTTAAAGGGAGTGAGCTGGCACAATAGCCCAGTACTGAGAGAAGGAAATCCCTGCCATTGCTTTTGGGAGCCTGGGCTGCTGGTATGTGAGGGAAGGATGTGATCTCTCTCTTCTAGGCACTGGAGTGCTAGTCCTTTAGGCCTGGAGTACAGGTCTTGCTGCACCAAAGCACCAGGGTGTGTCTCCTAATGAAGCGCACCAGCACTGGGAAGTGCTGGAGGGATCAGGTACGAATCTCAAGAGAGCACTTTGGGGAAGGGTGGCTTGGTTTCCTATTGATCTCACTTTTACATCCCACCTGGAATGGGGCCAGTACCTAGCTTTGCCCAGCTGGGTAGGCTTCAGCAGGCTTGCAGGAATCAGATTCATGCTGACCTCATCTAATGACATCTCCAGATTTCATGTTTCTCTCTTAACCCCTCTGCCCTACTAAGCAGAACCAGAGCAGCAGAAAATGGAGAAGAGCTGCTAGTCCACCTGTCCCTTCTCCTTTCTTTACTACTTTTCCAGGTATAGATGCCTCCCAACAAGGCACTCCTTACCTGTGCCGGAAACTGTCCCGCTCATCTCTGTAATCGGAGACAGCCTGTGATCTTGACGTGCTGCCCCCGCCGATCACTCCTGCCCAGTATTCAGCATCACCATCCAGGTCCCCCGCAGGAGGCAGAGGTTTCCTTCGCACCTGGCGGTAGGGCTGCCGGAAGTTCAAATCCTCTTCATGCAAAGAGCTGAGTTCAGAGATGGTGTTGTTATCTGCAGGGGAGGTTGCAGAAAAGAAATGAGATGGGCATCACCCAATAGCATGTGCGAGAGGGGAGAAGAGGACAGGAAGGCTGTGGTGAGCCTTGCTGCAGCTTTTTCAGAAAGAATCTGAGCTTGCCCTCCTTTAGAAAAAAAACAAAATAAAATCCAACCTTCTCTAAACCCTTGACTGATCCTGCCCACAACTCCTGGGGCTCAGTTTGGACATAGAGCTGCTGTCAGACCTACAGGTCTTCTGAACTGGTAGCTGGCAGCCAGGTGGGATATTCTAAGGGTACTGCAAATGGCATCAGAACTGGGTTCAGCCTTCATGGAGAAATCGCCCCTCAGCCCTGCTTCAGTAACACGCGAGCTCTCTGCCCTCACAAGGTGGGCACCGAGCTTGGTGGGAACATCATAGCAGTTGTGCCACCTCCCCCTTTCCTGGTGCGAGACAGGCTGGCTCTGGATTTGGCCTGATTTGCCCAGCTAAAACAAAACCAACCCCCTCAAAAAAGATTAAGAAAAAAGTAAGAGACTGTCTGAATCACTGTCAGTCTCTACCCTGTCAAGCACACTGACATCTGGAGGCCTGACATACCAATCTGGAGAGGTCTTTTTATAGTAAATCCTGTGGGTGGAGAAGACAGTGTGCTCAGCAATGACTGTTTTAGAAGTATATATAATTTGTTAGTTATGCCTAATCTGTACATTCCCTAAAGCCCTTACCTTCATTGATTTGCAGGATCTCATGCATCTGCTTTAAATGAGCCTCTACCAGTGCCTAATGTGGGTTAGCTTTGGATGCTGCCTGTAGAAACTGAGCCCCCAGCCTGCTGCTGTCCCCTGCACACAACAGCTGAAGGACAATAAGCAGCACTACAAGCCCTCCTCATTCACACACCCTGTCCTGCCACTGCACATCTGCCTCCTATCACGGAGAGATGCTCGCTTGGGTTTGTATTCTGACACACAGTAAGTGCAACCTCAGCCTTTATTTAGGGAAATAAAGCTTGCAAGAGGCTATCGGAAGACAGTGAGGAGTTCCACACAGAAGCTCAGTTCTGAGTCTGCATCACATCCCTATTCACCACCCTCCTCCCCTTGACCTGCAGTTGTCTGACTGCCAAGCCATCAGTACCAATGAGTGTACCACCTCTGATCTTATCTTGACCAGTGACACAAAATCTGACAGTCCCCTGGTTTCTTCAATCTTTCTTGTAGTCCCTGCTCCTGCAGGGCAACAGCCACTCCAAACTACCTTTCTGCATTCTTCAAGCCACACTGTGGTCATTGCAGTCCACAAAACACGCTTTCAGTAAAATTATCCCTCTCCTATTTTGCCATGCTGGGAATTTACAGGCACCACACTGTAAGACATATAGAAAAAGACAATATCCCAGCTATTATTACACCACAGGCTGTAGAAGACATGAGTATGGGCTTGGGTTTTCAGATGTTGATGATCCAAACGTTTAATTATCTGAGTGGACAATTTTCATGAGCATTTGAGTATCCCTCATTTTGTTTGCTCTAATTAGGGATGATTAGGTAAGCAGCAGATCTTTAGAATCAGAATGTAACTGTAGATGCCCAAAATCTAGACCTTATGTGCCCCAAGTACCATATCCTGGACATCATATCCTAAGGGCTGGCTCTAAGGCAAAGCCAGTGAACTTTTAACTATGAATTTGCAGTCTTTTTCAGGGGGGGGGAAAAAAAATCAAACCATGCTTGTTCCTCACATCGTTCTCGCATCCTCCTAGCTGGGTCAAACTGAGCCAGTTCTTTCTCGACATAGTACAGCACCTTCATGGAGTCCCTTTCCTTGTCAGTCTGGATCCTGTACCCTTTGCGCACCGCTAGGGAGAAAAGAAAAGCATTAGAGGAAAACACAGTTAAGTCCAAGTAGACCTTCCGACAATATTGCTCCTATAGTTGAGCTCACATCTGCAGGCAGGTAGGCTGTGTCTTCCGAAACAGAGTGAGTCAGTCCTTGCTTCAGAAGAAATTTGTGTCTAACATGGGATGTGAAGTTGTGAGCAGCTGTATCATTTATAAAGTTTGCAGCAACAGCAGAAATGGTTTGGAAATGCCCAATCTGTACAACCAAATGCATCAAGTGGTATCACTGCCATAGAGTGATTCCACCTCCCACAGAGGATGGCAGAGAGAAAAGCAGCACTTCATTTCCCCTTCCTCAGCACTACAGAAAGGATTTGTCATGGTATGCGAGAAGCAGTCCCAGAAGATCAGGCTTCCTCTATGCTGCAGGGGCCGTAAGCTCCCAGCCTACAGGGGAAGCAGGTGGCAGAGCATTTGGGAGCTGTCACTCTGCAGGGCCACTCCTCCCTCCCATCCCTATGAATTCTGCTCACACAGGTTGAAGAGCATGTGGTAGGAGAAGCTCCAAAGAATACAGACGGAAACACAGCAAGTCCCACAAAGCACATCACACCGCTTTGAGATTTATACCGAATCCAGTGATGGGGCTGATCAGGTCACTGGGTAACTGTGAAACTGCTTGCTCTCGCAAGCATTCATTACAGGCTTTATTTTACAGAAAAGGAGACTTAGACATACATTAAATGCTTGACTCCTGGGATTACTCCACTTGCAGGGAAGTCTGGACAGCTTTTTTGGCTTTCCCTCATTCCTGTGTGTAGAAAAAAAAGCCCCTACACATTTGGAGCCACAGCAGCTCTAACTCTGGCAGGCTGGCTCCATGCACACTTTACCTGCTAACCCTACAAAGAGCCTGAATACCTCAAGGCAGCTATAGTCAGCAAGCAGAGAACTCCACCTGTCAGGACTTTGAAGAAAATCAGGCTTTTATAGCAGATTATTTAAGAAAGGTCTCAGTCTGGTGCTATTTCAAGATTGACAGAAACACAGGTCTCAGTACAGAAGAGGACCACCACCTTCAAATTCAGCCTCATTAGAGAACTGTTGCGAGGACAGTTCACTTAACACTACAAAATGGAACCTGTCTGCCTTGCATGGGGTCACTACGTTCCCTTGTGTGAATACTGCAGTGTTGCACGAGTGCTACTCTTGTGGCACTATTTAAACACTTGCACGGTGGTTTTCAGCCAACCTGTTCTTTCTGTTTTATCCCACACCCTGATACACCAAGGTACTAACATATGGGTTTGGTAGTACGTTGCATAGTATGCACTGTGTGGGCTGAACAAGGACTTGGCAGAGGTATTCTTAGGCACCTTCTGTCCTAAACTGCTGTGCGCTACTAAATAACCATGCTCTGCTTCAGCAACGGCTGTGCCATAGAAATGGGTAGAATGATTCCTGTAATAGTCCCGCAAATTGCTTCAGGAGGAAAGTGCTTTACTGTGGGTTTTGACTGTGCACATGTAAGGCAAGTAACTACATCCTGAAATATTACCTTGTGTATCTGTACTTGGGAAAGGTATTAGATGTGAAAACATTGTATGGGTCTATCAGGGCCGATTTCAATGTGTCTTCAGATAGCTTTGCTGACAGCAGTCTGGAGTTTCACTGTGTTGTATTATCCCCACGAATGTGTGCACAATGACTGCAAATGCACACAGTGATTTACAGAAGACAAGGAACCCTGCCTCTGCCTTCCAAAGTGGAAAACCATCATGTTTCTTGAAGTGAGGTTGCTGCTAAGAAGAGGGGCTGCACTGACTGCCCTCAGAAATGATGACTCCTGCTGCACTGCACGAGCAACAGCAAGGCAAGTTCTCCACCTCACCCTCATGGCTGACCTCCACCTGCTACCTTGCCAGGAGAAAGGCCTCTCACTATTCTTTATTCTTTCTTCTAATGTGCCTACTAGGAGCTCAGCTAAGCTGCCACCTCATTTATACACAGGCCAGCAAACAACCATCAGCTGGAAATGACTCTGACCTACTAATAACCTTTGGGGAACTTGAACAGGCAGCTTCCAGACTGTCTCCCCAGAGCCACTACTCACGCTGAGGCTGTGCCAAATATCTATTTGGGCAACATCTATAGCTCCTGGAACTGATGGAGAATTAGCTAGGCTTCATGCTAGCTTCATGCTCAACTTGGTATTGCAGCTGTGTATCAAAAGGCAAATGAATTTCTTGGTTAATTCTGCAAGCATCTAGAAATTAACTTTGGATTTAAATCTGCAAAGATGACCGTGAGCAGCTCATAAAATGTATTTTCCATTATAGATGAAGCGTATTTTGTCTCTACATTTATTTATTAAATACTTCTTGCAATGATATTGAATGTTCAACTTATTAAATCTCTTTATTATTCCTTTGTGTGAGAACTGAAGATATTATTGCTTCCTCCTCACACCCTTCTTCATCTGTAAATTGCCATAACCCTTTAATAAGGTCTGAATATTTTTAGGCCCATCTTAATTATAAGGGAATAAAGATGCAGACATGTTAACCACTTGTCCAGAACCATTCACTGAAATCAAAGGGAATGGAACATTCTTCCCTGTTAGACCCTATTTTCTTCTCTTGAACAGTTCATAAATTTCTAATGTTTAATTTGTGTTTAACTAGACACTTTTTTTATTCTTCTGTGGGTGGAACCAAGCCAGCCAAAACTGTAAGCTGTTTCCCTCCCCAGAAAGGACAGCACTACTATTTTTTTCAGACAAGTGTGGTTAGGAAGTAAATGATGTCTCATCCTTATACACTTTTTATATTAAATGTCTGCAGTCCGTATCTTGGATCAAAAGCTTCCCTGTGTGCATGGTTTTAGGAATTTAAACAAGAGTCTCCAGGTAACCACTGCATTTAAAATAGCCAGAGTATACACCCTAACTTAAGTGTTGCCAACACTCTTCTAAATGAGAGAGATGAAAGTTTATTTTTTTCCCTGTTCAGCCCTAAGTTTAGGATGGAGTTCCTTGGCTTCTGTGGAGCTTTGTCACATGGCTTTTATGTAACCCTAGACAAATTTTCTAAATATTCTCATGCAAACTCCTTGAGTTTGCTCACTAGATTACCTTACAGGGGTCTTATAAGCACAGAAACTACCTCGGGCAAAGGCTGTCCTTTTTAGCCTAGCAGCCAGCACTAGAGAATCCTCCAGTCTCTGTCCCCCAGCACTTCTGATCCCATTTTTTTAAATAAACCTGACAGAAAGGGTGAAATCTCAAAGATACCAAGTTTCAGATCAGACCTACACTGGCTGCATGGAGGACACAAGAGACCATAATTAGTGCTCCTTCTGAGAAAAGGCCTTTATTATAAACTCAACCATTACCTGTTTTGTTTAGCTTGCTGTCTGGCCAACCAGCAAATAAGTCACTTGGGACAGCCACATAATGTTTTCTCTTCTACAGCCTGTAATTAGGGGATATTCTGGCATTGTGGAGGACTTTTAAGAGAAAAGGAAGAGGATGCAGGGTATCACCCTTCCTTAGCTCCACAGCTCAAGAACTTTGAACAACTGGTGCATGATCCAAACTAAGGGTTTGTCCATATTATGGCAAAAAATATTAATTAAAAATAAAGCTTAAGAACCTCTGTTGTCTTGCCACAACAATTAAAACTCTGTAATAATGGGGGGGTTTGCAATATGTGTTATTTCCTGTCAAGTCCTGAGTTGAGGGATTAAGTCCAGCCAGCTGATTTGGATTATGTAATAAATGCACCTTTCTGTCTAATGAACATGGGAAGCTAAGAGCCATTCCATTTGGTTACCAAACACATCCACAGATTTTCATTCTGCATTTGTGCTCTGCTACTAATGTACAGCAGGGACAAGACTGGGGCTGTGATCTGACTCTTAAAAAGTCCCTGGAGTTCCCATGGCCAACACCATGCTCTACATGCAGTGACATTTTTCACAGGAGAAAAAAATTAAGCACTGGGCTGTCGTTCATCATTTTCTGACAAAGCTTTCTGAATTGGATACGTTCTGCTTTGGATCAGTGATTGATTTATTTCCTATTTCAAAATGCTCCACTCCAGAGCTCTGTTTTGATTTCAGTGGGGGAAAAAAAAAAAGTATGACCGTTGAAGGAAAATACTTTTTGCAATTCCAGAAAGGTTAATATACTGACTGGGGCAGTGGAAGGATGTGTAGGGTTGTTCCACAAAGCTTAATTATTTGATTGTGCTATGTGATCTTGCCTTTTCAGAAGTATCTTATCAACACATTGTCATGAGCTAATTTAACAATTGATAATTAGTGTGGTGCTTTGAAATCAGACATGTGGCTGGATCAATGGCAAACATACTGTGTCAGTATGGCGACTCTACATTGGTGAGAGTCACTTCTGCTGCAGCATGTTTGAATTTAGACAGCCACTCTGATCCTGGAATGCTAGCATGTGGCTAAATAGATACCCTCTTTTTCATTGATGGCAGCTTCCTTTGCAGCAGGAGAAGTGACCCTCACCAAGACAGAGTCATCATACTGCTACTCTATGTCTGACATTGATCCACAAACTCCTTTCTAGTTAGAAGCCTTTTATCACTCACATTTCACAAATGCAAAGGCTGAACAAAAAAAGTGACCTACTGACTTCTGTAAGGTAGGGAAGGGGGTCTAGCCCCAAATGCTCTTGGACAGAAATGCCAAGGGAGCATGTCCCCGTGCCCAAAACACCATGGGTACAGTAAAACACACTGCAGCAAAAACAGCTGCTGCCAGAGGGCAAGCAGTACCCTGCAGAGGGTAGGACGAACAGTTTACCAAGAGAGAGCAGCTTGCAAGGCATCAGCTCTAAGGGGAAAATGGCCACTGCCTCTGCTCCCCTGAAATCATCTTCATCCTTTTGTCCTCTGCAAGTAAGTTTGCAGCAGTAATGAGAGGGGTCCCAGGCATGAACTTGGCCTCCCATTCCCTGCTGACCTAATTAAGCACCCACAAACCTGACACTGTGCTGATGGCACTAGAAAAGTTGGACCATGTGGCCCTAAGGGACGTAAATATCTTTGTTAGAGCCAGGATTAAAACGCAGTTTCTCTGTGTTTCTTCTATTCACACCACTCTAGCAGTGACAATCATTCCTCCCTTTCCCAGCCCTGCTCCTAGTAAGAGAACCAAATGTTATGCCTGGCACTGCAAATTACCATTTTGGCTTCCTCCGCTGGAGTCACTTGGGGCTAAAGGAGGGGGGTGTGACTTATCCATCAGCACAGCAGGAGACGGGACACCAGATACAGGAACACTGGGGATATAGTATGGACCTGGCATGGAAGAGACTGCAGGAGGGTACCCAGCTTTTGCTGCTTTGCCTGCTACATACACTGAAAAGAAAAAGAACAGCAGTCAGCATCACACCAGCCTCCCACAGACCCACATGGCACGTGGCCAAAAACTGCACATCACCAACATAGGTGACAACCCAGCAGGAGACAACTGGACAAATGACATGACAAGGACCAACCTGAATTTCTCTAAGCCTCAAAGGGCACTGAGGGGAGTTTAAAAAATGCACATGGCAGGCTAGATGAGCACTGCAAGATGCCCATCAACTGGAAGACATTCAGGGCGTTATAGCTGGCATTACCGCTGCCATGATTTAGTGGCAGTTCAGCTTTAAAAACAACTGATGACTCAAGCAGCAGGGATGAGGCTCATGAAACTTGACAGATCTGCCTGAGCCTGACCAGGAACCTTGCTGGGTTGCAAGGACTTTGCACTGTTGTAGAGGGCAGCTGCTTTGCATTGCCAGGAAGAAACCTCCCAGGACGCTCTTAGCTCTGACCCACAACATTCACCGACACAACAACAACTTTGGAAGGGGAGCATGACACTTTGGAGAAGCAGGCACAGCTGCCAAGGCAGGGAGGGCTCCAGGAATTACATATGTAATTAACTTTGAGCACTCAACCATTGAGCAATAGGTCAGATGCTTCACTCCCTAAGAACTATTTCTTGAAGTCAAGAGAAGTGCTCAGGGCAAAGGAAGCAACATTAGCATACTCTTCTCCTGTTCTGCCAGCAGTAAGGCAGGAGAAGATTTGCACCAGGCTTGGACAGGGTCACTCACGTGCCCGTGGACAGCAGCAGGACTCAGGACAGCATGGGCAGCGGACATAACAGCAGCAGCTGTGTGGGCAGCACTGGCACCAGCAGATCCCCACCAGGAGGAAGAAGAGGAACGCCCCCAGGATCACAAGGCCCACGAAGACCCACTCTAGAAAACAAGGGGAGAAAGAGAGATACTTACAGGATTGCACATTGCTGTGGAAGGGAATGTCAGCATCATCCTCCCAGGGGAGAGCAGAGGGGCAAAATAGATATGTGAATAATAGAAGTGGACTTCCTGCTCGTCTAGGGCTACGTCCCCTGCTGTGTTGAAGCAGAAATGGCACAAGACAGTGAGAAATGGAGCAACAGAAATGTGGTCCCTTCCTGCGATGTCTCTGGCTGGCTGAGAGACAGAAGTTCTGGTTCCCCAGCACAGAAACCCTTTGCCCCACGGCAGACCTGTACGAGCGCCACAGGATGTTCCCCATTAGCATTTGGATCTCATGAAAGACTCATTCTTCCCAGCCATGTTCATGCCCTCCTTGTGTGTTTGTTCCCTACCCACATTCTAGTTTTAATGGGACAAACGATGGTGAAAAGCATGCTATAAATAGCCCAGTAAATGAGCCAGGCCTGCCCCTTCGCAACTAGGCCCACGCATGCAATTATTCTTTTGAATGTGCCGAACGAACATCCTATTCAGGCACTGCAGCCAGCCAGGAAACCTAACAACCACTTTTTTTTTCTTTTTTTCCCCCCGCTGAAGCCTCAGACGATGTCTGCCAGGCCTCGAAAGGGAACGGCTGAAAAACACCCTACAAGTGAAGGCATAGAAGAGCTGGTCCACAAAAAACAGGATGGGGTCTGAACGGGAAGGGGAGTGAGAAAAGGTTTCTCAAACTTTGCTGCTGGGAAATCTGCAATGGCAGCAGCAGTGGAGGGAGCAGGTGCCCGGTCTGTGCCGGGGCAGCTCCCAGCTCAGCATCTGGCCACCCTGTGCTTTGCAGGGGACTGCATGCACAGGGCTGCACTTACCACCACATGGCAATTCCCCAGATCAAGGGAATGGTCAGTGAACCCATCTGGACCAAGAAATTTCAAGACTTGAATGTACAGGAGGCCTGGAGTTGGTTTTATGTCAGAGAGATGCACCAACTTATCTAAAAGTCAAACCACAGGTGAGGGAAAATCTGTGGGAAAGACTCTAGGTGTACCTAGGTGGTTATTCAGCCACCTTGGAAAAATGTTAAGAAAGCAAAGAAAGAACTAGCAGTAGACCACTGTTTCCAGACAGAAGTCCAGCGTTGACTAAGGTGTCTCCTGGAGCATTATTATTTAAGATGAAGAAGTACTGATACAAGGATTGCAATGTGAGTACAGAATCACACTGGAAAAACAGTACGCCTCTCACCTGCATCACCAGGCTGAAAAGTCAAGGAAAAATGTTCGGCTTCGATCAAAACATAAGTTTTTTCCAGTTCTTAATAAAATGCAAAAATAAGAATAATTCATCCACAGCATTCTGTTTGAACAAAAGTAACATTCTTTGCTTTTTTTGAGTTTTCCCTAACTCTTCTACCAACAATTCCCCTTTTTTAATGTCATTTTTAATCTAGAACTTAAAATTTCCTTTAAAAAAACGTCAGCGAAAGATCTGGCATTTACAAATCAAAACACTTCACTTCAGAAGTGTCAAGTAAAATGTTTTATATTTTTTGAATATTTTACTTCTTTTTTGGCTGAAACAGATGAATTTCATTTAAATTTGCAGATAATTTTGGTCCTTGTGGAATAATTTTTTTTGGTGAAGTTACTATACGCTGAGAAAAATTCAGCTAATGAATAAGGAAATGGCTGGAGGGAAGCACTCATGAATGGAAAAGTAAGAGCTGAGAGAGGATTACTGATGCAGCTCCTCAAGTGCTGGTTCTAGGAACCATCTCATTTACAAATGACCTTTACACAGAAATTAAGAATGTGTTAATGTATCTTGAGGATAAGAGGTAGGGAAGTATTGTCACTAAAGATGAAGACTGGGATATGTTACAGAAAGAGCCAGTTGTCCTTGGGCCTACAATAAGAAACATGAAATGCGGCAATATGCTGAATTTCAAGGTATGCAGCAATACTTTCAAGGTCACACGTTCAAGGATTAAGAACAATTTCTGTTCTGAACAGGACTTCATTAGTTGAAAACAACTGAAAAACAAGAGAAATGATCCAGGATACTATTCCATCATAGGACAACTGTAACTACTTATGCAGTACAATCACAAAAATGGCAAATGTAATCCCACGCCTGGTAGAGGAGGAATTTCTAGTAGTGTTAAGGAAATATTGATGCCATCATACGAGGCCTCCATGTAACTTCATCTGAAGTTGCTGATGTTATACAGCTCTGGTCATCTTTGTACAAGAAAAGCTGAATTCGGGTCAGAACAGATGCAAAACAGGGATTTGAGGGGACGAAGGGACTCAATAGCCAGCCTTCCAGCAGGAGAGCTGAAGCTTGCTGTGCTAGTCTATTAAAAAGAAGGCTGAGAGCAGACGTAGCTGCTGCCTGTAAATATGCTAGGAGGATGAATGCTAGGAGGAAAAGCAGGTATTATAGTTAAAGGTCTTACATAAATGGGCATAAACAGGCTATGAGTAATGCAGATGGAAGCTAGAAGATGCACATCAAAGAAAGCCATCCAATGGGAGAGAGAAAGGCCAAACCCAGACTACTCTTAAGCTTGCTAAGTTTATGGAAAGGATGAAATTACATGGTGCTCGGGATAGCAAGCAAGATAGCGAGCCAGATTATCCTTTCCAGTCCTGTACTTCCTGATCTATGCCAATCCGAGCAGGGCAGCATCTCTGTGGCTTTTTCTTTTGCAATGTTCTCATCTTGATCTCTGTAACCTTCACTGATTCAGAGAAGGAGGTGAAATAGTATTGCATGACAGAAGCGGCCAGCCACAGCTATGCAATGAAGCTCAGGTGTCAGATCTCCAGAGCTATTAGTGAACAGTTCACAAAAACTCCGTAAAGGATAAAAGCCTGGCAGAGGAAAAAACCAAACAGCAAGTCCATTTTAAGTGTATTGTGGTCTTTCTGAAAACGCTCTAGGAGTATAAAAGGAGATCAGGTTAGTATGTATATTGCATATTGCAAGATACTCACTCAGCACCAGGAGTGGATGTTTGAAATCAGTGTCCCAGTCACAGGGACCTATGAATCACAAAGGATTTTACTTCACAGGAAGTTAGACCATTTGCTTCTCTGATGAGGTTAAGAAAACAGCAAAAGAGTCTGCTGGCTCCTCGTTTATGCACAAAACTGGGATTCAACGACTTTTACCTGCGATTCCCTAATCCTTCTTCCAGTATAACTGTTATCTTCTGTCACAGCCCTTCCAGATACAACTGTGTAACCCTGAGATTCAAACGACTACCAAGCTGAAATGCTATGTGTCCTCGCTGTCTGGAAACTACTGGCTTGTGCTTGCAGGAGCATCTGCTTTTGTTTATTCAGGCAACAGGCAGTGCTAACAGCTGAAATGTAGTTTGCCGCTGCCTTTTACATTTTCTTGTTTATACCCATGCAGTGAGGGTACCAGAAAGCTACCTGGCCAACACACAAGAATTTTATACCCATTCAATAAAATTGTAAATGGGGGGGGGCGGGAGGAAAAGCGTTAGGCAACAGAGAATCAACTTCTGTCAATGCTGAAAAGACCAAACCCTCTCCTGCCATGCTGAACTTCCAGGGAGCTCTGGGTTACACCAGAGGCGGGGGAGTGTCTGCCTTCTCTCCGTTTGCATCTCTGGGACAAACTTGAAAATAGCTTCACACATTTATGTGAAGTTGCGTTTTTGCACAAACGTGTGAAAGAAGCACTCCTTGGGCACTGTCAGGGGATGATCAGATGACTCAAGGGCTAAATGTTCTCACAGCTTTTCCCTTTCAAGGACAATCTGTTGTACAGTCTCTGTTTCCTCTGCAAGGAGTGCCAGAACCGGTAGCTCTCATTAGTTTGGCTAGTGAGGGATTTATCATGGGCAGAGAGCTTTCATGTCTGGTCCAACCACCTGGTGTTACCTAGATAATGCCCTGACCATTCAGCACAAGAAGGGCTGTGCCACCGATAGGTTGCTAACCAGTGCTCTATTTCTTGCACCTCCTGTGCTACCATCTGTGGTGATGGCTATAATGGTACCCACAGGATAGGGTTGGGGATGCGGAAGTTACTACTGCACAAGAGCAGCTGATGTACAAAGCCATACGGGCACACAAGGCTGCCGAGGTCTCGCAGGCTGGAGCGGTGTTACCTTCGTGCTAGCAGGGGGAAGAAAAGAGAGCTTGACATAAAACCTGCCCTGGCATTTCTGCTCTCACACTGATCCTGGCACGACATCAACCATCTCTATATGTTGGCTCCCACCATGGCCATTCCTCCCCCAAGTCCCAGCATCAGCTCTCTCAGATCTCAACCCAACACACTTTCCCAGTAAGCAAGAAGTTTTTCCCTTTTTATCCCCAGATAAAACACACGTAAAAGTGAAACGTACTGGTGTACACATAAAGATGCTGTAGAAGGATAAACAGACAAGATGACAGAGGACTGGGTGGTTGAAGGGTGAAATGACTGAATACCTGGCATAATCTCCACAGCAAAACTGGGCAAGAGATCAGCAAGCAGCCCTGTCCTGCCTAGAAGAGACAGAAGGAGGAGAACAAGGAGAGAGGTTACTGCAAGAAAAACACACTCCCCAGCCCCTGCCTTAGCCTCCAGTCCCCTTCCTCATCAGCCCACTTGCACTCTGTTAAGTGAACTCCTATCAACCATAGATGTCATCCTGCTTGATGCCTGGTGTCTGCCTCTGCACTTCTGCCATTTCTGTGTCCTTGCATTTTATCTTTATCAGCAGAGCTGGGGGGAAAGAATCTGGAACAGAGCTTCTTCGATCTAGGCACAAAATGACAAGAAGAGGGAGGTCCCCTTAGCGTGTTTACACGGTGCCATCTTTCTGGAGTTATGCTCTACACATGCAAAAAGCTCCTGGAAATGCATGACAGCCTTCAAACAGAAGGATTTAATTTACTTTAGAAATGTACTGATTTAGTTTGAATGGATGTGAAACATCTTTAACCCAAGGCCCTTGACAAGTCAGCCGCATGCAT